AGTTGTTATGCCAGAATAGGCAAAGAAATAACTCTGGAGGACTGTATCGAAAGTACCAGTGGTACTGGCACATTGTTGTATTGTTCTGAGCTGTCACATGCCTGAGCTACTGCAATTTATCAACAATTCCATCATTTTCAACAAGTCAAGAGAGTAAGGGAGCGAGAATAAGAGCAACTTCAGTAAGTGAGTACATGTTTGAAAGACTGGTTGCTTTCCATCAAATTTCAAATCTTAGTGAGCTGCCTAAAGTATGCAGGCTCCATTTTAAGACATCATAGATCCAATTAATTATTTGGCCTGCTGAAATGTCTTCTTGTTATTTTAGAATGTTCTGGCCAACTATTACAGCACCATCATGTATCTACTGACAATTTTTGTTACACTAGAAGTGTCAAGTTTCTATTTTTGTGCTGTATTTTCCTGTTTTCATAAATCAAACTAGTTACTCATTCGGTTCCATAAAAACTACAATGCTTTATAAGAATGAAGTCACCTATATGAACGGCAAGATAGCTAATGGCAAGGTTTGTTAGAGGCAAACAGTTGTGCTTTTCTGCTAACACAAAAAAAAAGGTCAATTATTAGATTCCATGACATAGTGATGAGTGTGATTTATTGTTATGTTGGTAGTGTGCTGTTAGCTTAGCTAGATGCTAACAACAAAAACTACTAAAAGATAGTTAAATCCATGCTTTTCTGGTTATTAAGCATTCAAAATTGATCACTGATTTGATTCCACAGAACTAATACTTCCTAAAAAAAGGCTGCAGTCTATGCAGGCAACAAGGTAGCTAAAGTAAAATTCTCCTAAATAGATTGTGAGGTAAATTTAAATTCATATGTTGTGATTTTCAGCTTACATTCAAACTAGTCACTTATTAGTTTTCATAACAACTACAGGACAGTACGATGCTTCAAAGAAGCTGCCCATATACAGTAGGTAGCGATGTAGCTAACTGAAAAGTTTGATAATGGTATAAAATACTGTAAACAGTTGCTAGTCAAGTTTTTATTCATGTCTACTCATGTTTTATTTATTCATCTGCGTATGTAAACCATTCAAATTGGTTACTTATTAGGTTTTACCGCAGTTTGAGTGTTCTTTGTTGAGAGTGCGTCTTGTTGTTGTTAGCATTGTGCTTAACAAGCTAAAAGCAAACTCTACTGGGATCAATTGCTAGTCAAGTTTTATTCATGTGCTGCACTTTTCTGCTTACATTAAGCATTACAGGTTGGTCACTTATTAGATTCCGTGGCAGTTATAATGCTTTTTAAAAGGCAGCTGTCTAGGCCGTTCACTAGGTATTGGAACAGAGGTAAACACAAAAAGCCAATTATATAAAACAAATGCATTTTGTGAGAGGTCACTTAAATGGTAAAAATGGGTAAATTGCTCCAAGGCTGCTGAGCTAAAGAGAGGAAATAAAGACAGATGAAGAGCACAGTAAATACTAACAGAAATATTACTCCATTCCCATGGATGTGGCGCCACTATGCCGATGTCCTCTTAGGAATTCATTGACTTTAAGAGCTCTGTTCACAACCAGATCAAGCTAAATTGATGACACTCATTCTGAAGGGCTGGTCAGCTAGCTTGGTTGAGATTAATTTTAATCTGGCACTTCATTTGTACAGGAAGTGACACGCATTAAACCTCAGGAAGAGCGAAAGTCAATGAAGAGGGCCTTGTCCCTAACCATTATTGATGCCTGCGGTGACTCTGCCTTCTCTACTGGACGAGGAGCCTCTTTAATTGCAGCCAGTTTTCTGAGAGACAAATCCTTGATTAATGTGCCACTTTCGCTTTCATCCTTGGGCACAATTATTAGAAATCACTGGGAGCGATTTGACAAACAAAGTGATGTGGTTTAAAAGCCGGGCAGGAACTTTTTATGAGCATAATACATAACATAATTCCATTTAATCAAGCTGCCAGCTTTTTAAGGGCTCAGTGCAGCCACTTAGACACTTAATTACATTCAGAAGGAAACAAATAATTTAAAATAAGAATCACTAAAAGGAACACTATAACAGATTGAACATTTCTCTAATGGGGCAGTAAAATGGCATTTAAACCAAGCTGTAAATACCAACTAAGTATTGATGTATATCGTTCTCTAAAAAGCTAAATAATACTTGCAGTTAAAAGGGGCTTAATTTGTTTTTTAAACACAGACATATTTCCAAAGTCAGTTCAGGTATTTCCATGCATGATTCCTGTGGGAATTTATCAGTGTATCAAAATGCTCATCATCATGCCAAGCATGCATTCCTAAAGCTGGATTCTGATGCAACTGATGAAAAAGCAACCCTTCCTGAAAATATGTGCATTTATATAATAAATCAACCCCATAAATATTTTCTTGAATGTGATGTAAATGGAAATACCAATGCAAAAATTAAATATGAATGCTTTAAGCTGGTTATTTTGATGGTTTGTTTTTTTAAGTGTTAGTTTCTCTTAATCAAATTCATCCTAAAAGGTCTCCGGGTAACTTACTCTGGGATCTCATTGGTCAGTTGGCTTGAGAGCAGAAGGAAGACAACAGACAAGCACGTGAGACAGACAGACAGACAGAAAGACATAAGCAAAGACAACAACCAAAAGCTGTGCACACAGAGACAGACAGTTGACAAAACACACACAAATACAACACATAAAGATAAATGGCATTCTGTGCCTTTGATTAAGGCTCAATTAAATGTTTTGATGTGTATTTCTCAGTGGTGTGGCAGCAATTATCCTGAAAATTGAGCATAATATAATATAATATAATATAATATAATATAATATAATATAATATAATATAATATAATATAATATAATATAATATAATATAATATAATATAATCTCAGAGATGGGTTGTGGCTGGAAGAGCATCCGCTGTGTAAAAACGTACTGGATAAGTTGGCGATTCATTCCGCTGTGGCGACCCCGGATTAATAAAGGGACTAAGCCAAAAATAAAATAAATGAATGAATAATATAATATAATATAATATAATATAATATAATATAATATAATATAATATTATATAATTATATTATATTATATTGTAATTCACTAATTTATTCATTTTATTTGTACACTGCAGTGTATAAATTCAAAAGTTCAAAATTGTGCTAAATATTAGTGATATTTCTAAAACAAGGTGTGTAGAATACATCATCATCAATTCAGATAAAATTTTTAGATGATGATGTTTTGAATGTAAAACATTTTATTATCTGAATTCTATTCATTTTTTAAACTGTCTCTTAATACATTTTCCTTTAATGCTCTTTGTTTGAGCTGTTAGTTATGGTGTACTTTTAAATTATGAGCAACAACAGAAGTATATGTCTGATAGACTAACTATTTCCCATCAAATTCAAGAACCTACATTGTATTAAAAAAATCTGTGGACAAAACAAATAATGTTCTGGCAGAAAATAATCAGTTTACAGTGGGGAAAATAAGTTTTGAACACATCATGTTTTTTGCTGAGAATTATATTTCTAAAGAAGCTGTTGAGATCAAATTAAACCAGATTTAGATAAAACCCAAACAATTCAAACATAAAAATAAAACAAAACAAAATCTGAAAAATGTGTTATAACAATGGCTTGACGGACATAGAAAGTATGTAGCTACTGAAATGTAAGGCTTTTTTTGGTGATGGCAGCTTAAAAACGCCTCTCATATGAAACAAAGTCACATGAATTGCTCAGATGTAATTTTTTAAACAGACTTCAACAGATTATTTTATATTGGATTTAAGTCATGTGATTATCTGGGCCATTCTACAGCTTGATTTTGTTTCTCTGAAACCAATAGAGAGTTTTGTTAGCTGTGTTTTGGATCAGCGTCTTGCTGAGTGTCCACCCTGGTTTCATCATCCTGATAATGTAGATGTTAAAAACATTAACTAATATTAGCTAATATTAGATAACAATGATGACGGGCAGCGGGTTGCTGAATAACTTCTGAGAGAGGCTACACCTCCCTTTCTTCATGCGTTCAATAATTTTTCCTTGCATCATTTAATTTAATTATGCATAACTTAATTTGTAAACTAATTAGATTTTTTTTCTTTGCATATAGGAATTTATTTGGTTGTTACCAACATTTAGGGAATATTTCAAGTCAACAGCACCTTTAGAAATTTGTTTACTGAGAAAAATGTTGAGTTCAATACTTATTTTCCCCATTGTATATTCTGTTAAAAACAAACCATTTATTAACAAATGGTCTAAATTAACATTTTTATTTATTGAATTATTGCTTGTTTTAATTATTTTTTTCTTCATTGAATGAAGGAAAAAAGGTCAAATTGTGGTTAGTGCAGTAAAACCATGTTTTTTTTTTTTTAAGGGAGCTCATTTAAGTTAATAATCCAGCCTGCTAGTACTCCTTCATGAGCTAGTTATGTTGTAACTTTAAACTATGAGCACTATTTTTAAAGCAGCTTCTTCAACATTGGTGGAGACATCGCAATAAAATATATAACTCTTGTAATTCAATCCTTTCTCCTAGAAACGGAATAAATGTTGACGTAATTGGTGCATGCTGGACCACTGACACATCAGACCAACCAGAGGAAGAGAAATCATCTGATAAGTGAGGAAGGAAGCAATTATCAAGACATGACCATCAATGGTGCCTTAGGATATGTGTGGTAGTGAAGACGTGTGGTTTTGAGATCCCAGTGATGGTGGAGGAAGCTTCATTACAGCATATAAGCGTGATCCATCGCACTGCAGTCGTGAGACTCCTTCGGGTGCCACGCTAATTGGACCCAGCTAGGGTTCACGGAAAACCAAAGAGACAGACTATAGCGAAAGTGGTAATTGATGAGATCAAGCCATTAGCTAAAATGAGGAAGCACGTCAGGCCTTAAATGGGGCCGGAGTAATCTAGCCTGTCATCGCTCCTCATTGACTGCTAATATAGCAATGAACCAATCATTGTGATCATTGGGGAAAGCACTGACACAAGGACAAGCGTCTACATTACCTTTTGGTGACTCTGTTGTGATATTCGATAAATGTATGACCATCAAACGCAATGGCCTCCGTGTCCCCAGCGGACTTCTCGAATATTGCTGGAAAGGGGGAGAGAAGACGGAGTGAAATTACACCAATCGATGTGAGACAGGGCATTGTTAATTAAAGCAAAGCTAGAAAAAGAGTGTGATGTATCGCAGGCTTCATGCTTGTGTGGCTTAATTAAGGTTAAAGATGCAACACAAGGACCCTGCAAGGTTAATGAGGTGAGCAAAAGTTCTTGGGTTTTTGCGACTGTGCCAATGTGTGTTTGCGATAAGCATACGAATCGAGGATGGTGTTATTTGTGAAAGTTTGGAGGCGTGGATTTAGCTAAATCTACATATGGAGCATATGACTGGCTAGAGCTGCCAAGAGCTATTTCTTTTAAGTAAGCTGTACAGTATGTTGATGTATGCTAAAGACGCATGCAAATCTTGCCTTTAAGGAGTGTGAGGGAGTTGGCGGAGAAGCTATATTGGGTAATATGATTTTTAAAAAGTGATTAAATAAGGAACTTACTGTCCTGGCAGTGGTGTCCGGAGAATCCGTGGCGGCAGGCGCACTCATAGCTGTTCAGCTGGGGGTTGCAGCGGCCTCCATTCTCACAAACGTCTTTGGAGCAGGGATGATTAGGATACATGGACACGTCAGTGGACGAAAGGGCATTATCAGCTTTCAGGATTGGAATTCCCATCAAAGTAATCTGTGGAGACCGATATACAATATTATATATACAATTTCTGTGTTGTCACAGATTAATATTTTTCAGCTAATACTAGGGGTGTGATGAGACCTCGGGCTACAATATCTCACAAGACTAAATCACGACAAGATTTCTCGTCAAGGTGAAAGGTTGCCTTGTGAGTTGTGATGTTATGATAGAGCATGAGGGTGAATTCAGCACTGAAGATTGGTCCAAAAGCAAAGGCTGCTACAACTGCAGCCACACAAATTTACCCTGCGATGGAATAGCTTTTTAGATATGCTGAAGTCATAATCATCATAAACACAAATTAAATTAAGACGTGAAATATTCCTATTTTAGTCGCATTATTGAAGTGCTGTACAGACATGTAAACTCAGTAATCAAACTGTTACTGTCGTGTAGGACTTTTAGCCACATTTTGAGACAGGTTAAGCTCTCTGCTATCAGTCCACCCTTGCATTCAGTGGTTCAGAGTTTGTCCAGTCAGTCGGTTTTATAGCAAAATATTTAGCAGTTTTTGCATGTGCTTTATGGCATAACTCATTAAAATGGAAGTAAATTAACATTAATTACAAGTTGATTTAAAAAAAGCATGTAAATAGTTTTGCATTTTGTAATTTTTTTTAAGTTGAACAAAAGACTATTTTCCATTAATATATTTCATTATTGAGGAATTTGTATAAAAATCTTGTGTCTCGTCTCATGTAGTAAGTGTCTCGTCACACCCCTAGCTAATAGCATATTGTCTCTGCTCAGCTGCTACAGAGACAGATGATTAGTATTAGAATTGATTAGAACCAAAATTACTTTCAAAGTAGTAGTTTTCCAAAGTAAAAACATAACAATTTGTGTACAATTTTCGCATTCTGAGTTATCACAGCCTAATAAATTGAATCTAAAATCATATTCTATTTTCTCTATTTTACTACAATCGAGGCGATTAAAGTCAAAACAACATTCAAACAAGTCATTTGTTTTCACATTTACACATACAAGTTCAATTTTTCTTAGAAACTTAAATTTATCAGGTAAAACCATAGACTGTAAATGATATAAATGTAGTATATGTGACGTCACACATAGGTTTCTAAAGAACGCAAAAGAAGCTACAAGTAGGAATGGCCACTCATCGCCATTTTGTTCACCCGTCATCGCACCAACCAGGGGATACCAAGCAAGAGCAAAGAGGCGGAGCATGAGCGGAGCTACAGATGCCTACTGGCATTTTGCTTAGACAGATTTTTCTTTGGCAGAAATGCTTAATACTTCATTACCTGTGACTCATTTGTGTTCTGACCACATGTTTGGTTGTGTACTATATCAATAAAGTGTTCAGACTTTTAAAAACACTGCTGTAACACATCGAACCACTAAGCATTGTTCTTATAACGCTTTTCTAGAAGAGGAAAACGCAAGTTACTTTCAAACACTTCTAGTCTTTGTTGGTAAATGTAAGGCTATTTATGAAATCTAGGAATAACACTGTATGACAACGCTTCAGATGACTGTTCTATAGCCTACAGGTAATCAGTCTGTCAGATTTTGGAGTGCATTCGAGTTCTAAAGAAAAATATAAGAGATAAAGGATCTTAAATAAAACAAATACATTTATAGATATGGTATAAGTACATAATTTCACTCACCTGGGAAATGGAGGCAACTTGAATGGTTTGTGAGCATATTTAAATGCACACAGCATGCCATATCAAAGGATATTTGTAAGAAATAATTCCAAAAAGCAACTGACTGTGTAAAGCCACAAAAACCAAAACAAAAATACGATGTACTGTACATGGTGGTTCAGATAACCAGCTGGAATCAGCTTAGGTGAAGTGATGCCGACCAGCGAGACCTAGCTATCAATCAAGTGGCCAAGCCTTTAATTATGCAGACCTAATATAACTTGATATAAAGAAACGGATGAGTTATAAAAAAATCAACCCTCACAGTTTTCATGAAGGGTAATATTAGCTATATGAACCAAAATCGTCCTTTGTACCAGGTTATAAACACTTTTCTGCTGTAAAGTTCAATAGACTATGCTCTATATCAAGCCAGGACTAGCAAAATTTTGATGAATTGCAGTTTCAGTTACTTTGGTATTTAGTTTCACGATGGAGAGCGGGATGTTGCCGCTTGGGTAAAACCATATAGCATCTGATCAGATACTTCTCATTAATGAGTAAATGTGAAAAAATAAAAGTTTGAAGGATGTTATAACTGCATGCACCCCATATTTTTCTGGTCAAAGCAGACCCAAATTAATAAAAAGTTCTGGTCGCACTGTTTTTCCCCTATGCAAAACAATGAAAAGTGTTTCTTTTGCCTATGTGGAACCATGAATAAAAAAAAGAATCCAAATATAATAAGTTTATCTTCTTTTAGCCAAATAGCTATTTGGGGAGTATTTTAGCAAATCACATCTAGGTCTGGCTTCATTCTGGTAAGTAACATCCATTTTTTCCTATCCAATTATTTCCCAATAAGCAAAGTTAGCTTTATTCTCTCTGAATATCCAGTTTCACTTTGAAATACATCAACTGATGGAAGTAAAATGGCTTGTTAATGGAATTTAAGACTTTAATGCATCTGTAAGTGCTCTCACCTTCTGAATGGCCCCTTTGAAGCCATCTTTGATCGCAGCAGCTCTGGCTACTTTGCGGAAATCAGGAGCTCCACCCACAAAGAGTGATTCCTTCAGATTGAGATCCGTGTGCTGATTCTGGGCAACATAACAAACAAATTTAAGACACCACATCCTTATCCTCAGTTCACTCTTCTAGCTATAAACTTCTTTAATGCAAACTCTAGCAAAATGTCAAAATAATTTAATGTGTGATCTAGAGTAGTACAGCGCTGTAGTGAAACAGAGGATGGTTTACTGTACATCAGCAGGCTTATAGATTTGACTTTCACACCTAATTCTTATCCACATCAGTGTGAGTGTTGTATTACAATACCATAATTGATTTAAGCTCAGCTCCCTGAATGGTAAATGACTGTGAATCTAACATACAAGACAGGAGAAAAGCGATAGGAAGAAAAAAGTGAGAGAGGGATAATTGAAGAAACGACTGAAATGAGGACGATTGATATGGATGGGTTTTTAATGAAAGAGTGTAATGAATGCCTGATTGTTCCTTAGACCTTTAAAATCTGGAGCTGTAAACTCTAATTGGTGCATCGCTCACACCGCGGATGACCATGAAACGAGCGTTTCTCCAACCTGTGTGAAAATCGCTTTAGTTACAGTGGGATTTTTCTGCATGAGGCTCTACTTAAAAAGAATTAAAAATCTTTATTTTATGTAGGCCAATTATTGCCTTGGGGGAAAGGCAAGTTAATTGCCGGGGAAAAAAAAGAAAGAAAGATGGGACATCAACACCAATGCCAATTTCTGACGTGTGGTCCAGCTCTCATTCCAGCGATATAAAAAGAAGAATAGCTAAGTACGGATACAGGCGAAGGCTTGAAAAGCTCTGGCTAAGGACCCGGAGGCCAGTCCAAACATCCGGATGGGCCAAGACAGCATAGCCAGGAATGTTTTCACCCAGCTGCTGTTTCATGTGGTCAGAGACGTGTGCAATGAGAAGTCTTGACACAAAGCTGCAATGCATCGACAGCCACAGGCTGGGAGAGACATTTTCACTCTCCGCTTCCCTGCCAGAACGAGCTGAGACTGAGATTGAGCAGGTGAAGTGAATAGCTAACTGCCAGCGTTATTTAGGAACTTTCCCCAAGGGCCCTAGAAGCTTCATGCCTTCTCGAACTGGCACATGCCCCCTCTGATATCGCGGCCAAGAATTTGAATGCAATTCTCAAGAAAAATGAGCAACGTCGATAATTAACTTGCACAATTGTTCTAGGTAAACCAAGGTGTTCATTTAATATATGTGGGCACAAACATGGCCCCTCTGGCTGAGGGTTTGTTTACATGGCTGCTATGATAAATAAAAATGATTTTCCTTTGAGGTTTTGAAAACTTTTGAGCACAGATGTCAACAGTCTTAATGACTGCCGTTTGCACAGATCCACAAAATGACAGGCCAGTAGGCATCTCGCTCCTGTATTTCACCATTATTGTTTTTGTTGTGAAGTACTTATACATTCCTATAAACTGAACACCGAACACAAAACCAGCCCTTTGTTTTATGACTATATTTTTGGCAATACGCCAAAATTTATATTTTTTCTTTTAGGATAAACTTAATTAAAATATTAAGTAAATATCCTTTTTCTTAAATAAATTTTGATAATGTCCTTTTTATAAACATATCAATCTAATTTTTTAAAAGTAACATGTATTGCTAAGAACTTAATTTGTTCAACCTTAAGAGTTTAAATTTTACAATTTTAAGTTGTTGTATTTCAGCCAAATGTTGTCCTAACAATTTTTACATCAATGGAAAGATTATTTATACTCTTATTAAGTGATTTATGCATCTCATCTTCCAAAAATTTACACGTATGACTAGTTTTGTCGTCCGGGGTCATATATAGTTTACCAGTGGTGTAGTAGAGGCTATATGCACGTATACTCCGTATGCCTACTTTTTTTCCACGAGCTGTTTGGGTATTACGACTTCTATACCAAATATTTTTTTAACTTGCATCTTAATTTGTTGTATTTGGTGCATTTTTGTTTAATTTGCACCATTCCCCACCCCCTGACGACTGCAGCAGCTGTGAGAAAAAGTTTCTCGAAGACGACAACAAGTGAACTGAATGATGTCTCGCTGAAACGTTCAGCTACAATTATAAAACAGTATGGATGTTGCTTTAGCCCCCCTATATTTCTATTCAGAACTTGTATTACCCCAATGTCATGTAGGAGCAACTGGGTTACCCCATCTATTGTTTCCTCATTTGAGTTTGCTTTGCTTTTGTTTTCAAGTTTTTTTTTTGTTTATATATATATATATATATATATATATATATATATATATATATATATATATATATATATATATATATATATATTAAATGTACTTGTTAACAACTTACAATACTTGAAATAGCTTTCTAGAAACATGATATTTTTGTACAGTATTAAAAAAAATTATATATGTGTATATATATATATATATATATATATATATATATATATATATATATATATATATATTAAAATAGGCTCATTTTACATGTCTCCTAGAGTTAAACAGTTAGGTTTTACCACAGCTTGATATATTTAGCCAATCTCCGGGTCTACTGGGGGCACTATTATCTAAGCATAACTCACTGAATAGTATTAGACTATTAGCATCTCGCTTTAAAATGAACAAATTTGTTTAAATATTTTTACTTTTTAAATGGATAGTTCACCCCAAAAAATGAAAATTGTCAACATTTTCTCAACCTTTACTTGTTCCAAACTGGTTTGTCTTTTTCAACACTTCTAAGGAAGTCAATAGTTACAGGTAACTTTCATTCATTCATTCATTTTCTTTTCGGCTTAGTCCCTTTATTAATCCGGGGTCGCCACAGCGAAATGAACCGCCAACTTATCCAGCACATGTTTTATGCAGCGGATGCCCTTTCAGCCGAAACCCATCTCTGGGAAACATCCATTTACACTCATTCACACTCATACACTACGGACAATTTAGCTTACCCAATTCACCTGTACCGCATGTTTTAGACAGTGGGGGAAACCAGATCACCTGGAGGAAACCCACGTGAACGCAGGGGAAACATGTAAACTCCACACAGAAACGCCAACTGACCCAGCCGAGGCTCAAACCAGCGACCTTCTTGCTGTAAGGTGACAGCACTACCTACTACGCCACCATGTCGGCTACAGGTAACTTATGTTCAATAAATATATATTGCTAATGAATCAAAAAAACATAGATGTCATTTCTTTGCTTACTTTTAAAATTTGGGTTGGGTGGGTAATAGTACACTACCAGGACTACACCACTGGTGTGGACTATAAAACTATTATTAAGTCCTCTAAAGTCAATTATTGTGTAAATCAATAGCCAAACTGCATTAAAAATAAGCTATTTTATACTTTATACTTTTATACTTTTTAATATTAAAATAGATTACATATTGTCAATAATATTTTAGAATATTACTGTAGCTCTTTTTTTTTTAAATAAATATTTGACTAAATAAATGAAGCTTTAGTGATTAAGATTAAAAATGATTGGTGACCCCACACTTTATGTGTGTATTTACAATACACTTTCATTTGAAAGTTTGTAGTTCAAAAGTTACACTTTCGCACCCGAGTCTCCTTGGATTCTCAAAAAACCCCACAAGGCTATCACAACTTAGATTTATAAATAGCATTTCTTTCTCTTTGGTCATGTCTTCAGTAGCCTAGGGCACCGAGTGAGCTAGGACTGTCATTGGTACCATCTCAAACAAACAACAGCAGCAACAACAACAAAAGTGCATGATGCCCCTGAAGGGTCCAAAAACAAATGTGCCAAAAGAACAACTCCACCACGCTCTCTTCCTTTCACATCTTTTCTTCTTTAGATAACACTCTGTTTCTCTCCCACGCCAGCTGCCTTTTTTTCATGCAGTCTACATCCACAGTGAGGCGGTTTAATGGCCCTCCCACGCGAGACTAATGAAGACATTTCATTGTTGTTGGAAGGGTGATGAAACAATGGTGGTCAAATGATAACTCTCTCCCTCGTCGCCCCCATACCAGCTGGTCTGAGGTGAAAGCCAGATCTCTCTCTGTCTCATCCCTTATAGCATATGGAACAGTTTGAAGAGGGAAAAAAAAAAAAAACTCCCCTCTGATTTGTTTGACCAGATTTCGGCTAATGAACGATGAAGCTGAAATGGACAAGTTGCTTTTGGTTGGAATGAAGATGTCGATTTGAGAAAGCGATTTCAGACTTCAGTCATTACCTTGCGTGATTTCTTATATCCAGACAGCACACAAACAGAGCACAGGGGAAGGAAGAAAAAAAATGTTACCAGAGAAGAAAGCACAGAAGATGTCAGTACACACAGTCCAGCATGCAGTAAACTATAAGCCTGAGGAATAAAACATTCACACGCGTAACTCAAGCAAGACACTTAGCATGCAGGTCGCAAATAAAAAAATATATAGGTGTGTGTACAGTGTGTCAGAAACCAATGTGTGGAGTAAATCAGGAATGACATTAAAAGTCGAACTATGTTTTACACTACTGCACATACATTATTTATTTTTGCTTTGTGATACGCTGCTGTAGTTAAGAGTGGGCTCAGTGGAACGGCCATTGAGGCAATATGAAACTATTCCTCTTGGGGTTTTGCTTCTGGCACTGCTTTTTAAAATGAGACCCTTTTGACATCTTAACATTTTTCATCTCTCATCCTCTTATATATAAACATATTTCAGTTTTAATAATAGATATTCATTTAAAAAGGGTTCTATATGATAAGGGCACTTTATTTACAATTTTGCAGTACAGTAATAGTGTTATTGGCACATTTTTATAAATTTATCATAAAACATTGTAAAAAAAAGATTCCACTTCTAACACATTACATGCACTTTCTATATTAATATAAATAAATTTTGCATAACTAGATGCCATACACCACCTGACACAAGTCTTGCCACCTATCCAAGTTTTTTGAACAACAAATAATAACTTGACTTCTAGTTGATTATTTGGTATCAGAGATGGCTTACATGAAATGCAAAGGCCTCTAGATTACACTTAATTTGCCAAAATTAAATATGATCATGCTATGATTTTTGAT